CCCTTGGAAGATGGGACGGGCTTTGGTATGGGATGCTACTTGTATGGACACGTTAGCCCCGTCGCACCTCCCTCGGACGGCTGCAGAGCAGGCGGAAAAAACGGGTCAAATATAAGAGTCTTGGGCAGTGGGGTTCAAGTGCACAGGCGCTAATTAAAGTTGTCGCCTGGTAGATAGTACCGGTGACCCCAGAGCTGGTGCTTTCCTCGCTCAACGAATAAGTATCGCAATACAGCGAGAAAATGCTGCCAGCGTTAAAGGTAATTACCACAGGGTCCAAACTTTTGTTTTTTTTTTTATTATTATTTAATCATTTTTATTATTACTATGTAGGTTAAGAAAATTGTAAATACTGTATATTTGATTAAAAAACGTTTTATTTGTTTTATGTAACATTACCACTTAAAAATAGGTTTGAAATAAACCAAAAACCTCCTGGCGCCTTTAAGATTTAATTTAGTAGGTATATTTTAGTTATTGTATTGTGCTACGTTACGTACAAGTCAGGTTCAACCATCATAAATCGGAAATCAGACGGGATCTTGGTTATTTATGTATACAGCAACTGAACAGTTGGTATGCAAACGGCTGGACAGGTTTTGGTGATTTTTTGTGTGTTATTTATTTTTTATTTATTTTCTCAACAGTATTCATACAGCTACTCACTAACAATTACATTGTACACAAAAGCCAAAAACGGAATACACAATCAAACATAAACAAAGCACAGTTTTACCTATTTATACAAAAAATATAACAAAGTATATATTTATAATAAATTCTAAGTTCTAAGATTAATTGATCATTATAATATATATTTAATATAAAGGAATAATAACAAAGCCATTATTAATAAAATATACCAGAGTTGTTCAAGTGGAGTTGACAATGATTTACTATGTATTATGTAGTAATGAAGTACATGACAACGTCTGTCGGATCCGCTAGTATTTCTTAAAATATAACATCATTATGTGTATAATAATGACGTATTATGTCTATAAAATACTTTTGCATATATATTCCTCGGAGAGTGAAATCCATACATTACATGTATCGACGTAAATCTCTAAATTAAATAAAAAAGCTTCCGGTTAACCTGACTTTTCAATGAAACGAGCGTTTGAACTTAATTAACGATATCTCTCGGGAAATTATCATAAGTTACGACGTTATATACGAGCTTTATCAGACTATGTGTCGATAATATTTATAAATGACGTAACCGGCTGTGGTTCAACTAATTTGCGTAAAAGATTAAATGAAGATACCATTGATTTTTTGTACGCACAACGGACCATTTACGAGTCTAATTGCGGAGAAAGGAGTCCTACTACCCTACCATTGATTTTATTGAAATTTTATTTATTTATTAATTAACACGTCGTTGCATTACAATATAAAAATTGAACATAATTCAATGAAAACGAGGGCAACTGGCGGCCTTATCGCTTTCGAGCGATCTCTTCCAGGTAACCGTAAGAAAAAAAATGTATTAAATTAGATAGGGTAGGCAAGAAGTGCAAAAATACATATTAAATTTGTTATTAAGAAAAAGAAACTAAACAGTAAGAAAAAACAAACTAAACTAATAAAGGATACATAAATATTATATATACAAATGAATCGTATATTTTGCTAGGCGCAAAACTCAATGTCTGGTCATCTAGCGATTTTTTTAAATTGTTCCCGGAAATTTGAGGAAGGTTTTATCGAGAGAAAATTGTAAAAATATAAATAAAACCAGTTTTATTAAGTACTTAGGATTTTATTCCGGAAAAGCTAGCAATTTCTATGTAGTAGCATAGCAATGTTCCATATGTTATGTAGCTGCTAAAAAGGTAGAGTAAGAATTCATTTTAAGGCGAAATTAAAGTAAAGTCAAACTCAAAATTAATTGTAAATTTACATTTACTACCAGTTCGCAAGTCAAGGGCGTAGAGCGGGCAAGAAGATCTGGCAAGAAACTTCCCGCCACTCTTTTTAATCGCTAAGTTTTTAGTCATACAAATTGTTTGAACTGGAGCAAATCAATCCCAAGGATTAGGATCATTCGTCAAGGAGTATTCGTCAAATTTATAAAAAGCTTTATTGATTAATTTACGTTTAACGAGGGCTTGAATTTATTTAGTGATAATTCTCTAATTTCGCTTGGGAAATTGTTGTAGAAACGAATACAATTTCCATATAAGGAGTGTTTTATCTTCTGGAGCCTGGTTGGTCATACACTCAAATTAGTTCTATTTCGCGTTTTATACTGGTGAAACCATCACCATTTGTTTTAAAATCGTTTATATTTTTTTATAGCAGTAATAAATATTATTGAACGTTTATATTGTCACTTAAAAGATATTTTTAAATCTATTGTAAGTGTAATAAATTATCAAAACGTTATTAATATGTTTGTATGCACGCCATAGTATTATTGCTGCAGAAAGAACAAAGAGTTCTAGCAACCATAAAAGCTTTAACAAGAGCTATCAAGGAGCTTTCAGAGTTACTATATATCTGCGAAGACGTCACAACTCACACACAATATTTATTAATTTTTTATTTTATTTTATTTATTTCCTTATTTCCTATTTTTACAGTAACTTCATACTAATACAACAGAAAACTAACGTAAAACATAATATAAATATATATCATCAAGTTAGCGTTGCACTGAATTATTTGCTGCTGGCGTATTTATTCAAGAGTTGCAGTTTGAATATCTTCGAATGCTTCCAAAAGTCTTTACCGAAAAGCTAATACTTTTCTGAAAAAATAAATCCCACAAAACTACTGTAACTGGACAAAATAAAACCCTTCATATAAATATGCATTTTATAAGCAAAAATTATTCCCTTAAAATATTCTTTATAAAAATGAATGTATTTTAAAATGCACGTAGAGAACTTATTTGCAGCAAGGCATCGCATAGTCCTCTGCATGCAACTTGAATTATATACCATCACGTCAATAACTTTGACACAAATTGTATGAACAATTCATAACCCATAAACAAGAACACTCAATTAAAACACAAATACATTGTCAACCTCAAGAAGAACAAGGACAGAAAACATAAACATTTTCAAACTTCGAACGCACCTTAGTCTCGCAACATGCAACTTTAACCCCTATTCACGAAACGAAAAGCCCTATAGTGGAAAATGGGGTATTTCAGTTCATTACAAAATGAAATGTGCTTAGGTATTGGTATAGTTGGCGCATGCGCGAAACGTACCCCACATCAGTGACGCGGCATACGCCGAGTGAGGCGCGCGCGTTTCACCCCATAGTGGGCGCCGGCCCAAAATTCAAATGTGGTATAGTGACCGTTACAGAATAAAAACTTAATTGCGAATAAATTTTATAAAACACATTATATATGGATCGAGTTTTTGAATTATTAAATATAGTGCGGCAGTGGTGTGTTTTCAATGCGAGTGAAAACTGCGACCCTTAAAAATTGATACAGGTTTGTAAATTAAATTGCTTTGTTGCGTGTATCATTGTAACATGAAAGCTAAGGAAATAGATTATCGACCGAGTGGTTAAGCCATTAAAATATTTCATTCCTATTAAAGTTATTAAATGTTAATTGCGTTGCCTTGACACAGTTTATAATACGCCGGATAATAAATCATGAGAACCTACATTATGTCATTTCTTTTATGTTTACTTTTATATATTGTCAACATGTTTAATACGAATCATATAAAGAAATTATCCTTATTTACTTAAGTTCTCCGAGTGAGTAATAGTATTTAATTTTCATTATTTTAGAAACAGTACGTATGTACGTACGTATGTACCGGACATTAAAAAATCTAATTTTTAATTGTTTTTAACTAAAATTTTAGCATAAAGACAATTATACTATAGAAAATATATTTTACTGTTGTATTGTTAACATTCAATATAGTTCATTAATGATATTCTATAAGAGTCAAATAAATACAATGAAACAATGTGTTAAGAAATATTATTTCATTAAAAATTTGCATAGCAGCCTGCTTCTTCAACATATTATATGGTTCTGGTTCTTCTGACATATTATATGTACATACAAATAACGTCTTAAACAATGGAGATACTATGAAGAAATGAGATAATTTGGTTAAAATTAGGTTCAAATTAAGACTATACACAATCTGCTTACTCCCTCTGTATGTTACGGACCAAGTTAACAATTCAGTCAAATTAAGACTGATAATGTACGTGAATGATTGATTATCTTTCAAAGCAACCTTCTTAAGTCTATTCTTAATCCCTAGGTCTAATATTTTAATGGGAAAACCAAAATGACTCTGAGGTGAGCAAAATTATTACACTTCGTGTTGATAACATGGTATAATGGTTACAGCTCCATAGAAACATTTTGTAAAACAAAAATCTTGGCGATTAAAAAGAGTGGCGGAGAGTTTATTGACAGTTCTTCTCGTCCGTTCTACGCCCTTGATTTGAGAACTTGCATTAAATGTAAAATTAGAAGCATTAAATATGTATTACGTTTTACGTTTTACGTAACTCCAAAAAAATATGAGCTCCTTCAACTAATCACACAAGGCAAAGTGGCAGGTAGAAGGAGACCTGGCCGCAGACGCACGTCCTGGTTGAAAAACTTAAGACAACGGTTTGGTCTCTCTAAAACTAGCCATGATGATCGCCAACCTTCGCAAGGAGATGGCATTATAAGAAGAAAAAATATGTATTTCTTTATTGACGTTCATAATTGTACATTGTGTTAACTAAATGTTTCTGCATGTGTGGCGGCTAAACAAAGATACAAGTTTAGAATGTCTGGAGAACTATGTTAAGAACGTCATATATGCTAGGGAAGTGTCTATAACAGTCGAAAAAATTAATCATAAAAGAGAAAAGGATTACGCATCATTCATTATCGGGGTACCAGAATGTGAATATGAGTTATTATGTAAACCGGATAATTGGCCTGTTAATGTTGAATATTGTGACTGGGTGTGGTTTCGGAGATCACCAAATAACCCAAAAGGATGGAACCCTCACATTTTGGTAACATACCTATTAAGATATGTTACCAAAATGTGAGGGGTCTTCGGACCAAGTTAAAGGAATTTTATATGAGTGTCTCATCAATCTCTGTAGATTTGTTTGCAGTTACGGAAACAGGATGTAATGATTCTATAGCTGACGCTGAGTTAGTCCCTCCCAGATATACGGTATTACGATGTGACCGCGTGGATGGGCGCAAGCATGGTGGCGTATGTCTCGTGGCTTCCCCACGCCTGGAACTGCGCCGCGTAATTTTGCCCTGTGATTTGCATATTGAATTTCGCCCGTTTGAAATAGTTTGTGCAACTGTCTATTTAAAAAGTAGATTTATGTTTATGTTATGTATTGTTTATACTCCTCCAAATACGAATGATGTTGAATACTTTTTATTGCTCAAAACAATTGAAGAATTTTGTTCCAAGTATGATGATGTATTAGTGATCGGTGACTTTAATTTATATTCTTGTTCAAACAATGTAAATACTTATTTTTGGAATTACTTTAGCAACTATTGTGAATTCAGTCAGTGTAACAATATACAAAATGTTAATGGCCGTCTATTAGACTTGGTTTTGAGCAAAGGTAGGGGAATGCAAAGCGTTGCGGTGTGTGAGGGGGATGAACCTTTAGTACCAGTAGACGATCAGCATCCACCGCTTCTTGTGTGCGTGCGTCCACGCGTTTGGGCGGTTTCTTCAAGGGATGATGCGGCAAAAACGGATGAGCGCTTGTTACAGTGGAATTTTAAGAAAGCTGATTTTAATGCATTGTATTCTAAGGTTAGAGAAGTGGATTGGTCTGATGTATACTCGTCTGATTTAAATCTGAGTCTCAATTGCTTCTATTATAAGTTAAACTCTGTGTTTGAGGAATGCGTGCCAAAAAATTCCAGGAACCTAGGATACTCAAGGTATTTATATCCAAAATGGTACACAAAGGAGGTAATTAAAAAAATTAAACAAAAAGCCTCGCTGCATAAGAGATACAAGGTCACTAAATCCCCAGGAGATTACAAAGAGTTTAGCTGTTGCAGAGCTGAAGTCAAGAAATTAATCGCTTTGGCTCTTGAAAATTATACTAAGGCTGTTAAATCAAATGTGATTGAAGATCCCAAGTCATTCTGGAGATTTATTAATAGTAACAGAGTCAATAGAGAACCATCGGGTGTTATTGAGAACGGAGAGGTACTACCGCCGGATAGGAGTGTTAAAGCATTTGCCGAGTATTTTAGCTCTGTTTATGTTACGCAAAAGCCAAAGCTTGACGTCAGTGCAGCTGTTGCTGGAGCGGGTTGTTCAAACGGGGCTGCAAGAGTTCACGTTGGGAACTTACAGTTTAGCGATATACAGGAGGCACTTAAGCGACTTAAGCCAAAAAAAGGCAGCAGGCCCGAACGGTATACCGCCTTATATCTTGAGAGATTGTGGCGGTGTACTTGCTGAACCACTGCTACACATATATAACCTGTGTCTGAAAGCAGCAACATTTCCCACATGTTGGAAAAGCAGTCGGGTAATTCCAGTTCCTAAAGTAGGATGCCACGATAAAGTAGAACAGCATAGGCCAATAGCTATATTGTCAAGTCCGGCGAAGGTGTTGGAAACTGCACTTCAAAAGTGCATACTTAATCAAGTGAGCTCCCAACTCTCAGAAGCTCAACACGGGTTTCGGTCTACGAGGAGTACCACTAGCAACCTCTTAAATTATATGGCTAATATTAGCCCAGTAGTGGACAGTGGAAAGCAGGTGGACGCTGCCTATTTCGATATTAAAAAAGCGTTTGATTTGGTCGATAACGACGTGCTTTTGCAGAAGTTTGCACAGGTAGGATTCACTCCACACTTATTGAACTTCATGGCTAGCTTTATGGAAGATCGAATGCAATACGTGGAATACGCTGGGTGTAGGTCAGAGGCTTACTTTACGAGATCAGGCGTGACACAGGGCAGTAATTTGGGACCGATGGAATTTATGATAATGCTGAATGACCTACCAAAAGTTGTCAAGAATGCAAAGTGCTTGCTCTTCGCTGATGATATCAAACTATACATGCCCATCGAAAGTACAGACGACTGTATACGGCTGCAGGAAGACATTGATCGAGTGGTAAATTGGAGCAGGAGAAATAGATTAGGGTTTAATTTGGCGAAATGCAAAGTCATATCTTTCTCGAGAGCACGATTTCCCACTCGATACAATTATACTATTAGTGGTCTAACGTTGGCTAGAGTATCAGAGGTCAAAGATCTGGGAGTATATTTTAATGCCAATCTTGGGTTTGCGCAACACGTCGAGAAGACATGCAAAAAGGCATAGAGAAATTTGGGGTTCATATTACGAACAGCTTGTAGCTTCACAAATATCAGTGCGATTAAAATTTTATACAATGCATTAGTCAGAAGTCACTTGGAGTGCAATGCAATGGTGTGGGCCCCATATGAGGCTAAATACAGTCTCATGTTAGTGCGAATACAAAATAAATTCACCCGTTACCTCTACAAGAGACTGTATGGAGTGTATCCTTTGTATCCGCTTATGTACCCGACCCTGTTTGTTCTGGGTATGGTGGGCTATGACCAGCTACGCCTCAGAAGAGAGCTAGCCTTGTCGGTGTATGTATTTAAGATACTTACGGGTCGGGTCCATAATCTGGACATAATGGAGAAACTGAGTCTACGGGTACCAAGTAGAAACCTGAGGCGGAAGTCTCAACTTTTGGATGTACCGCGCGCACACTCCAACTTGGTTAGCGAAGCACCACTCACGCGAGCAATAATTATAATAAATAGGACTTCTGTTGAGGTAGACCTGTTTGTTTGTACACTGGCTGAGTTCACAAGAGTTGCTTCCTATATTATTAGTTATAAGATTTAGGTATATATATATATATATATATATTTCTTAATGTTTTTTATCTAGGTTAATTGGTGTGGGTGTAAATATTGTGTTGTTCTATCGAATTAGTAATTAGGTACTGTAAAGATAGAATAAGGATATGGAATAAATAAATAAATAAATAAATAAATAAATAAATAAATAAATAAATGAATAAATTCTTTTCTGAATAACCTCTTCTGTTTTTAAGTCGGTTAAAACCTACTAAAGGTTCCAGTTACAGTTTAGAAATTAAGAAAAGGATGATACATACAGAAGTATTTTATAACTCTTGTTAAACATTCATTAAATTTACAAACAAAGGCTGTACATGGTTTCCATTAATTTGACATATAAAATATAAATAGATTATATTTATTATTTATAGCAGTAGCCACAAACTATTACATCGATATATTTAGCATAACGAAAAGCGAGTCTCTTGGAAAATTTAACTTCTAAGAATACAATGATTAATGAAAGACTAGTAATAAATCATGAAAATTATTCTCTTTAAACGTCAACTTAAATTTATGGCTGTGCTAAGTCTGATTATTTATCATGCCTCTTATACCTAATCCAATTTAATAGATCGATTGAGTACTTTTTACGAAAGAGAATGAATAATTCATCAATGCGAAGAAAATTTTGCCTTTATATCAAGAGAGGATATTAAATTTCGGATAAGTATTTAGGCAGAACCGTGACCGGCAAGTCGAAGTAACTTTAACCAGAAAAAAATCTCAAAACGACTGACTGTCCTACTGATGTTCTAATTCAACCTGGCGAAAGGTAAATGGACTGTAATAATAAAATATTATTTACTATCAGTAGCGCTCGGGAATCCAAAACTATATATTCCTCTTGAACTGATTAACAGGTGTTACGCAAACACCTGTTTTAATGATAATTATGTTATTAAATATGAAATGTTTGATAAGCTACGAAGGTTCAGTTAGTAATTCTCGTAGCTCATTCGTAGCAACGTAGAACTTAAAATTAGATTCGTAATATCGTAGCAGCAATTTAATGTGTTTGTTAATCGATTGAATCAAGTCATGGATAAATTTTAAGAATACAAAATTTGTGGAAAAAAACTGACTATATCGAAAGCCATCAAATAAAGACATTAAACATAACTTTTCTTAAACAAATTCTACGAAAACCCAATAAAAGTTTGACCTCTCCGTTAGCATATTCAACTTTATTTGAATCATATAAATAAACTGTCATGGGATAAAATCGCGATCGTTATAACAAATTATTTACAATAAAAGTACAATTAACATTACAGACAACACGTGGATATTCAGATAATAATTAACTTTGATTAAAATATTAAAGATAAATAATATTAATAATAACTCATTAGAACAGTTGCGTTCCAAATCTTGTATTAGCATATGTCTTGGGTACTTGGGGCGCATGAGTCGTCAAAAACGTCACGAACGACGTGTGCAGCGTTTTTGTGGAAGAAAAGGGAGAGAGCGATTGAGACCGATAGGGAGAGAGAGTGAGAAGGGCAAATTACCTTCTAGAAATTCTATTTTTAAAATTAAAATTTCGTAAAGAGAATGTATGAAATATTAGTGTTTTATATTTTATGCAAAATAATTTATTGAAATCTCAAATGACTGTAAATTAAAATGTCACGTGTTTTTATCATCGAAGAAAAAAATTAAAAAAAAAATATTATTATTTGTTTTAGTATTCGACACCTAACATTTTAATGACAATTAAATTCCTAACATATCTTCTATATTATTTGTAAAAATATGAACAAGAGTTAAAAATTAGTTTGCCAAAGATGTTTCACTTCTGACATTTGTACTTGGTACGCACGCACTTTTTTTTTTATAAACAAGCAGGTCAACCTTGTAGGCACCTTACAGGCACACATGTCGAGTTTTTTAGAAAGAAGGTTAATTGGGCACATATACCAAAACATGCATTAGTACCGCCGTGATTCGAATGCACTATAGTTAATTCATAGTTGGGAGTTAATACAATACTAAAAAGAAATGTTGTTAGATATCAGTATTGTTTGTGAATTTGTGTTGTAAACGCACTGCAGATGAAACTAATGTAATACTTGCGTAAACATAAAACAAAGGCCGGTAAAAGTTATTAATCTTCGGAGAACGTTTTGCCGAATCGAACTTTGTTTAGAAGATTTTGCAAACACTTTTATACTTGATTTTAAGCTTAACAAATTATTGCTATAATATTTGGTAATTATATTCATATTAATATAACAAATTGTTTTAATATATAGGACATAAAATAATGAATCAGTGGCGCAACCTTTTTAGGTTTGGGCTTCAGATTTCTGTATTTGTTTCATGATCATTTGTCAATCAAATATCAAGGTAATCTAATAGGCAATCAGCCTCCTGTGCCTGACACACGCCGTCGACTATATCTAAAGCAAGCCGCATAGCAATGGAGGAACCCTATGTTTTCCTTTCTATCAATGTGCACATTTAATGTTAAATGTGCACATTGATAGAAAGTCCATTGGTGCACGGCTGGAGATCGAACCTACGACGTCAGGGGTGAGAATCGCACGCTGAAGCCTCTGTGCAAACACTACTGCTGCACATTTTTATTTTTATTTGTTATTTTAATTATTTATTTTAGTAGTTTATAGCCATAACTACTTTATTACAACTCCAATAAACCAATAAAACTATACATAAATTGACTTGATTATCGATTAAACCATGAAAAGAAAAGCACTGCTTATTGCATGCATGAAATTAATTTAATTTTCATTATTAAAATGATGTTAGGTTAAACTATCGACGTCAATATTGCTTATTATAAAAGCAATTTTGTTAGAAGCATCGCCATATTTCATTATGTAAATCGTGGATAGACGATTTTCTATTCTTTATATGCTTTATTAATAAGTAAATCAATGTTTGTTTATCGAACAATCAACACTTTGATTGTTTTAAATAATGTGATGTAGCTGGACAGTGATCTCTGCTTCACACAGGCCGTCGACTTTTTGGGTCTAAGGCAAGCCGGTTTCCTCACAATATTTTCCTTCACTGATAAATGCGCACATAGAAAGAAGATCTATTGGTGCACAGCCGGGGATTGAACCTGCCACCTCAGGGATGAGAGTCGCACGCTGAAGCCACTTGGCGAACACTGTTCCTTCGTTACAATGGTATAGATATATTAACTGTATCTTTTCGATGCGTTTGGTTGGTTTAAAACTAACTTGACTGGCTTGACTGGGGTAGACTAAATCTAGTCCAATTTAACCCCAAGAAGACACAAGTTTGCGCGTTTCCCGCTAAAAAACTCCCTTTGTCGCTACTTCTTTAACATTACACTCTTCTTAAAGTCTCAGCTAGCATCTACCTAGCAGCTGCCCACTGAAGTATTTCCGAAGACTCGACTTAGGGCCCTTCAAAAGAGCCTACAACTTCTTGAAAGGGCGGCAACGTTATTGCGAGCCTTCTGCCAATGTATGTCCATGGGCGGCGATATCACTTAACATCAGATGAGCCTCCTATTAACTTTTCTGCTTGATTAATAAACCGTAGTCATAGCATACACAACACACAATTTTTTCCGTGTCTTGCATTATAATGTTAGTTAAATCTGGCAACAAAAATGTATTTATGGAGTCATAAAAACAAGTTATGTGAGGTTTACGTGCGACCACGTAATTGCCCGTTTTATTTCACCTCAATGAGCTTACAATAATATCTCACATTGTGTCTGTTTAACAATTGTAATGTATATTTTATGGCTTGGTGGAATCTTTTGGAAACCACGCTAAGTGTGTAAACGAACACGAAATATTTTTATAGAAATGTGGAAACTCATAGAGAATATCAATATTGTTATCATTATATATTATATTTATTTATTAGTCATTGAATAATAGATAATTGTTGATTTTGACTTTGACGGAAATGATAGGTTAGAATTGAAATGTTACAATTTGAGGGCCAAACTGAACATTTGTTAGAGGACGCAATTTTATTTATGGGACATGTTGACACTCCTTTTTCCAAGATGGCGGCCGGGGTACAAGGGTTCCCACAATCCCACAAACTTGGGTTTAAGCTTGTATTGACCCCCCCTACATAAATAAAATTGCAACCGCGATTCCACAAAGCTTTAATTCCAAATCTAGCAAAGTAAATGACAGTTTCTACTGACTCGCGTTTTACCCTACATTAATATCTCAGAATATTCATACGGGATAATCTTTTCCGTTCTGAATCTTGAATATGAGGAAAACGCGTTTTCCACACGTTTCGAAATTTCGGGACTTTTCTTTAATTACGTGATCCGAATATTAAGTTGCAAATTTTGCAAGCGAGAAATTTACATAATGAAACACGTTCTTTTGATTAAAATGAACTGGCATGTGTTTATATTGATATAGTTTTGGAATCCAATTATTATATATAAGTATTTTATTCTATTATATATTCAAACCAAAACATAACAATGAAATATTATGTATTTAAAATTTTCTTAACCTACGTTATTATAAAAAATATTAAAAACAAAATTAAAAAGTTTAGACCCTATGGTCATTTAACGCTGGCAACATTTCCTCGCTTTTTTTTATAGAACGGGGGGCAGCTCACGGCAAGCAAACGGGCAGGAGGCTCACCTGATGTTAAGTGATACCGTCGCCCATGGACACTCTCAATGCCAGAGGGCTCGAGAGTGCGTTGCCGGCCTTTTAAGAATTGGTACGCTCTTTTCTTGAAGGACCCTAAGTCGAATTGGTTTGGAAATACTTCAGTGGGCAGCTGATTCCACAAAGTGGTAGTGCGCGGCAAAAACTGCTTTAAACCAATAAGTATCGCTGTATTGCGATACTTATTGGTTGAGCGAGGAAAGCACCAGCTCTGGGGTCAACGGTACTATCTACCAGGCGCCAATTTACGGATCATTTAGTTACATTATTTTCTATACTTTTACTGAAATAAGGTGCTAATGAATATAAAAACGCGTAGCTG